GGCGGGGCGGGGCGCGGGCCGGCGTCGGGGGGAGCGAGGGGTGAGCTGCGGCGGGCAGCGACGGAGATCGGGTGCGGGATTGCAATCGCGCACGACCTCAACCCTCAGCGCTGGACAGAAAGGTGAATAGAGTGCTCGTTCCGCAGCCAGACTTGTTGTTGTGGCTACGTACGCAATCAAATCTTGCGCATGCCAGGTCAGAACGTCTAAAATCCAGATCCAGTCAGAAAAACGTCCCGGGGTGCAGTGGGGCAGGCAGGCGTCCGCTCACCCCCTCCTTGTCAAGGGCTGCGCGGGCGCTCTCCAGGCGCGCCGTCTCCTCCTCCTCCGTCTTCTTGGCCAGCTCGCCATCAGGCAGCATGACCACGGTCACGCGGTGGGGGTTGCCCAGCAGGTACTTGCTGCGGGGTGGGGTGAGTGGTTGAGGACAAGGGACAATGTGAATATGTAGTTGATGGCATAACAATGGAAAATAATCCCAAACGAAAAATGGGAGGAGATGTAGCGAGCGCTCAGTCCGTTGAGGTGCACCGAGCGGCAAGCAGTGGAACGCCCCTTTGAAAACCCAGTGGACAGGGCAGCACGGGACGTGCTCGCGCCTTCACGGAGGGCTGGACGGGCATCGCGCTCGCAGTCAAAACCTGGTCAAACCGCGGTCAACCCCATGGGGTGCGGGACCCACTTGATGAGGGGCCCGAACACGTCCTCGCCCTGGGCCAGCTTGGACTTGAAGCTATTGAGGGCGTCCTCCCACTGAGGGGTGCGGCGCAGATGGTAGTGATGATGATGATCATGAGTCGTGGCAGTCCACGGTGATTGCACGGGCACGAGGTGGGGCCAGAAAACGGCTGCTTGTGTGCTTGCAGCAAGGGCTGCCCAGATTGCACTCATACGCCACCTCTTGCCCCTCCCCTCTCTCTCTAACAAACACGCACGCATGCACACAAACACGCATGCGCGCACACACACACAACACACACACACACACACACACAAGCACGCATGTCAGCCGCAGCCCCCACCTGGATGGGCACGTAGGGGTCCCTGTCGTAGATCCAGGCCCCCACGGCCCTCAGCATCAGGCTGAGGCCGCGAGGGAACGACCCCGTGTTGTTCTCACGCAGGCTGAACTCGATGGTGTTGATGGCCGCCTCTGATAATCGTCAGGGGGTTGAGGGTTGGGATTTTGGGTGTGGGAGATGATTTCAGAGAGTGTTTTCCCAGGTTGCGGTCGATGACACAGGGTGAGCGCACAAGGTGGTGAGTTGAGACGGGGGGCCGATAGGGGGAGGGGGCGTGTGTGGGGTGTCGCTCGGCCAGTGGGGCGGGCTTGGGCGGATGGCCCCAACGTACATGGAGCGGGCGTGGGGCCGGGACGGCCGTCTCGCCCTGCACAAGGGCTGGGGAGGCCCCGCGCAAGGCCTTGAAAGGGGGGGGCGGCGGCGCAGCGTCGCGCAGAGCGGGGCGGGGGCGCGCACCGATGGCCGAGGCGGTGAAGCCCGTGGCGGCGAGCTCCTTGAGCTTGTCCTGCACCAGCGCCTCCACCTTGTCCGCGTTAGCAGCGTCAACACCCTGGGGGCGTTGTTGGGTTGACAGACATTGACCGCGAATGTCAATAATGATTTCCGTCGCTTTGACAGAGGCGGGGGAGGGGGTTTTCTGTAGGCCAGAGGCCGGTCAAAGCCATGCGCGGCGGCGGTGCGGGGCGCATTGGTGCGCCCTGCTGGGGGCAGCGCATGTGCGCCCGGGCGGGCGGCCGCGGGCTGTCTGGGATTTTGCTGCGCTGCGCGCACCTTGAGGCCGACGCTGAAGATGGGCTGCTTGAGCTCATCGTCGATGCCGCCGCCGATGAGGGCCGCGCCGAGGCCGCTGTCGTTGAGGGCCTGGGGTTTTTTTTTGGG